CGTTCCCCGGGACAGCCTCCGGCAAAGCTGACATCTAATGCTTTCAGAGGAGCTGGCAAACTTCAGAAACACCAATGAGGGCCTTTTAATGACATCCTTGTTCCCTCATTTGCAGAAAGGGGGTGTAAAGAGTGCGGGGAAGCAGCTAATGGTTTCAGGAAAACACCGACTAATCTGTTTTGTACCAGAAAACAGAGGAATCCTGAGGAAATACTCCTTTTTATCACCCCACTTAGTCTTCTCTAGGTTTGCCAAATATGATTTATATTGCTAGACATTGAGACATTCACTCACTGTGTAGTATGTTTTAATTATACTCCATATTATCCTGTTTTTGTTTTATTTCTTATTTCCCTGCTTTGGGAGTCAGAGTCAACTCCCCAGCAGTGATCTCATGAGTTTCTTAAACATGTCATTTCTAAAGACTCACTTCGTATTTGCATACATTATAAGTCACAGACCACAAAACACGCAGGGACATTAAAGAGAATAAATTAAACAAAAGATGTATTTTATTTTGGACTGACCAGAACGAGTCTGCGCTTGGGAAGGGAGGAGGATAATAAGCGTTTTGACGTGTTTGTGTAAACCAGGCAGATTCTCCCAACGTGTTTTCCAGTTCTGTGCTCTTTTCCTGCGCTCCCGCCCGAGGACACTGACGTCTGGGCAATCAGTGCACGGCTTACACACACGTAATGCCGAGCGCAAGGCGGGCAGAGCCGCTGAAGTGGTTTAAAGTCTCTGTGTGGACTCCACCACAAAGCACCAGTTAAAAGGCCAGGAGCGAAAGCCGAGTTCCCAGATGGCTAAGACTAAAAAAGATAATACCCCCAGGCATCTGTATGTCTCGGCATTTAAATTCTAGCCCTTGAAATGCCAATTTGCACTTTGTGCCAAGAAGCAGTTGAAGCCCTTTTGCATGGAAATACCCAATAGAAGACCAATCTGTTTAAATGAAAGGTGTCTCTAATCATTTGGTATAAACATAACATGTTTTTATTTTATTATGTAACCTTGAATTATCTTGGCTTCTAATGAGAATCTTTCATTGTTCCTGATTCTCAATGATTTCATGGAATTATGTTGTCTAAATGTGCATTCTGATGAAAGGAAGGAAGGAAGGAAGGAAGGAAGGAAGGAAGGAAGGAGACAGAAAGAAAGAAAGAAAGAAAGAAAGAAAGAAAGACAGAAAGAAAGAAAGAGAGAAAGAAAGAAAGAGAGAAAGAAAGAAGAAAGAAAGAACCTATCTAATTATTTAAACACAATTGCTTGACCTAGCACATTTTCTAGTTTAGAAAATGTTATTCATCAAAGAAATAACCTTATGTATAAAGAGTTTTCCCTCAAAGTGCCAAATCCTCTCAGGTACCCTGGGATAATGAAAATCGCCAGTAGGTTTGTCTCTAAGACATCTCACAGTTTCTGTATTTTCTCCCCTTCTGAATTCCAGTCTGTTGTTCCTCTTGTAGGATCAGCGATTACATGGATCTGACCCCTGTAGATATTGTGGGGAAGAGATGCTACCACTTCATCCACGCGGAGGACGTGGAGGGCATCCGGCACAGTCACTTGGACTGTAAGTACCTCTCGTGCGTGTGTGGGCACAAGCTGGCGGGTTTTGCCTCTCTGATGCCTGTTTGGTTTCAGTGCCGATTTCTTCCTTCATGTCGCCTGTGCACTTCTGAGAGGACTGTCAACATGCGGTAAGAAAAAGTGAGACATAAATCACTTCAACTTGTGTTGGAATTAGATTGAAAGTCGGACCTCGGGCCCAGAGAAATTGCTGGGTCTTTAGGCACTCACCTGGGATTTCATGGTCTCTTGTGCTTTCTCCCCCATGACACAATGACAGAACCTTTGTCTTAAGTGCTTTCTTGACCCTTTCATTTTCTAGGGAGCAACTTCCACTCTGAAATGTGTGGTCCCAGTTTCAAAATACTATACAAGGGAGAAGACAAGGTCAAACAGGCCAGAGCCCTATAACATGCCTACTGGACTAGCCACAAAGCCAGGGTGAGGGAAGCCCAGGGAGCAGGGGCGGAGCACACGGCGTGGACAGGGCAGCGCTCAAAGGCAGTGTCTTCTTGGTGTGTTTCTGGAAAGAGGGTTATTCAGAGGAGCAGGAGTCTCCATCTCCAGACTCGTGGGGAAAAGAAAAAAAACTAATTTCAGCTCTTTGAGTCCAGTTCCCAGCTCCTGGCCTGCAGGCTGACGTCCAAGGCACCCTTTGTGGCATTTAAGCAAAGCAGCACCAGCAGTTTCCTGGCTGGGTCCACGTAGTAACCGGCAGCCAGCATCCTCCTGAAGCTTTCCCTCCTCGGACTCAGCGGCGCTGTTTACTGTGCGTGGGTGGGGTCTGCCCATCCCACCGGCGAGAGCACTGACCTGGGAGACTTCTTAGGAAGGGACTGTCTCCTTCCAACCAGAGACCCCTTTAATGGCCATTCGTGGACTCTTCCTAGAAGAGGAGGGCCTGCCAGCTTTCTTCCTAGAAGCTTCTGCACCCAGTCCCAAACGCTGGTTTTAAACACCTGCAAGGTACCACAGATGAGCTTGAAACGGAAGCTTCTTTTGTAGTAAGAGCAGCCAGGTGGCCTTTGCACTTTCTTCCTCCCCCCTTTCTTGCCATGGTGAGGACAGCAGTTGTTCGCTCCTTTCAATCTCAGATCTTCAAAAGGATGATGGAGAGACAGTAAGCTAGCCAAAGTCTCAGAGTGGGAGCATCTTGTTCTGTGGTTTTAGCCCTGAATTCGCAACAAAGACCCGGGACCAAGTTCAGTGTCAGGTTTTGTTGGTAGCATGTCTCTGGGAAAAGCCTGCCCGCCAGGCTGCTCTCCAGCAGAGTCTGCTCCCAGCACGGACTGTGCGCCTAGGCCCACACACCAGGGACTTGGGGGGCACACTGCTGCCGTGGATGAACGGGCGTGTGTACTGCAGAAGCAGAGGCTTGTCGGTTCATTGGAGGGTGGGGGCAGGAATGATGCTGTTTCCTTTTAGGAAACATCCAGTTTTTTTTGTAGCTGGGAATTTAGAGAAAATGGAGGAAAAATCAGAATCTTTAGAGGAAGCTGAAGATATATTTTGGGACCAATATATGCCAGAGAGCCAGACTTTAAAAATGAGTGTTGTTTGTAGGACACTGTCGTAGGGGGAGAGTGGTGCTTTTTCATTTGGGAATCTTAATTGAGGTCTAAATTCAGAAACCTGACGCTGACAAAAAAGAACTTTGTCATCCTCAGTTATTATTTGGAAAACATCATGCTTTCTCTCTGGGATTTGATTTACAGCTGGAAGAAACACAATTCCTCGAGTACAGTGGGCTGGGGCAGTTCATTCCTTCCCATAAAGCAGAGGTCTCCGACAAAATATGTTTGGTGCCATTCTTTCCGATCTACTTTTATCTCATTTCCAGTAACTGGAATAATTTGAGAGTGCTGAAAATAAACAACTCTGCCACTCACTATTGTGGTAGTCTCCTAATTTTTCTGGTATCTTGCCAGCTAATAAACAGAGAAGGTATGCTTTCAAATTCTGTGATTTTTTTTTCATTACTTGATATTGACATACTGGCTATTGCTTTATGATTTAGCCTACTAACAATGATTGAGTTCACTCTTTCAACCCATACACATGACTTCTAATTTAAAATTCTTTTAATAACCTTAAACACATGAAAAACAAATAGAATGAGCTGATAATTCTGCACAGTAAAATGCACTGCACATATTTAGCTACCATGCTGTGGAATAACTCCACAATGTCAAGTAGCACACAATTAGTGAAACTGTAGGGGGAGAAAAAGGAGTGTTTTGATCCTGAAGAATTTTGATCCTAATCAGATTGAAATTTCATCGTTCTTATAGTGCTTAAGATCTTCAATCACACACACACACACACACACACACACACACACACGCCAAAACAATGCCAATGTCAGGTTTGGCATTCTGTGACCGAAAAAAAAAATGCTAAAGTACACAAATGCATCTCGCTCTGTACAATAAACATTAGCATCATTATAAAGTAAGATTGAGTCTAAAATTGTGTGATGGAATGTCCCATGTTTACCTAATTCTCTAACTAAAGCCAGCCCAGTAACAAAATGACAGGGCATGTAATAAGTCTTGGTCGTGTAAACATTGTGGAAAAAAAGGCAAAGAGCCAGCACAGCGTCTCCCTTGTCCACAGCCCCAGGCTGTTACCGAAGATGCCTCAACTGTGCCTTCTTGGCAGGTGAAGGTCATGGTGACATCAAATCAGTTCCAGAATAAGATAGAATTCTAAAACAAAGGCATGGTTAAAAAATAAACCACATTAACTATTTAGCTTTTCTTCCTACAGCGATTGGCACAATTCCTGGTGCTGTCCATGAAAGGCAGTTTTTAGCTGTCTGATGATATTTCTGATACTTTGATATCTGCCTTGTGCTCCAGTTTATGGATAAAATTTTGGGAAAAGACTCAGTAGACTTTGGTAACTCAAAACGCTATCTTTATCACATATATCTTTTTTCCTAGCATAGGCATCTGCAAATCTTTAGGTGAACTTGTCTCTAGAATGAGAAAAGTAAAAGGAAATCTCAGCTGCACCAGCATTTGACAACTTTGATAAATTGAACCAAGAACTTTGGACCATGGACTCTCCCATTAGCTTAGCAGGAGACACCTGATAGTTGACTGCATTTCAACATAAAGAACCACTAAAAATCACATTATCTATACCAACACGGTGAGTTAGTGAAATTATACTGGTATTCTAAAACCAAAGGAGTTTTAGGTCCTCTTTTTTCACACTGTGAGCAAAATCCTCTTACAATTTTTTTCTTTTTTTCACCTCACGGAAGTCATTGAACCCATCTCATCGATTCTTTAGGCCAAATTTACCAAATCAACATGCCAAGGTTTGAATATTAAACCATTCATATCAGCAATTATTTGAGCAACTTTGCCTGTCACCCTCCAGTTCTCCATTGCTCAGGAGGTATTGACCTCAAGATGACTAGTCCTGTCTAGTCTTGTCACCTGGAGTCGCACATTCCAGTTACCCAGAGCATCAATGTCACTCTTCGATGTGAACGGAAAAGCACAGCCATCTACTACTCCACCTCTACCAGTTGCCTGGGAAATAGAAAAGCAAATCCAGAATGCTAAACCAGACAAGAAACTCTCCATGTACCTTTTCATCCAGCCTTTTGTCCACAGAAGATGTTGAATTTGTCTTGCCATAGCCCTCCGGTTCTTCCCTGGTGAAACCAACAACAACTCTCTAAAACCTGGAAAGAGCGGCCTGAAGGAAAACTTCCTCCAAGGCCCAGGGCTCTGGCGCTGTGGGACTTGAGAAAAAGGAGCCAGAGAGTATGGGGAAGAGGCAGCTATCCCTCCCTGGGACCCTGAGGGATGAGGAAACTGGAAGGGTTATTTCCGAATGGGAGAAGGGCTTCCAGCTTGTCTATGTGACTGTGTAGAGTTAAAAAGTATGGTCTGCCCAATATATTTGGAGGTGTTAAAAAAAATACAGTAGCCTAAGTATTTCTCTCTTAATTACTAAATTCTATACTTCCTAACAAAACTAATGCACAGCTACCTGGCATAATGCTTTCCATCCTGTTTTGCATCAATAACCCCTACACTTTCCTCCTGAAGGCGGCTCATCACCAATGCAAGCCGACTGCTTAATGCAGGACTAATTAGTATATCCCCTTCCAGTCTGCAGGCCCTCCATTGTAATTCCTTCCCAGCTCATTTTTTTCCACAACACAGCATCAATCAAAGTAAGTGCCCTGCCTGCCTAGGAAACACAAGATGTCCTCCATGCATTTGTCATCTGCCACACAAACAAAGGGGGGATTTAATTGTTGATTTGGGTCTGCTGCCATTGCACTCAGCAAGCAGCGGAAGCTGGGAGTGAAGGGAGAAGAGAAGGGATCAAGTTTGATGTGTGGGCTAAATCCAGAGAGCACACGGGACCCTCTTCTATTTTCTGATCTTAGCCATTTTCAGGGCTGACTCTTTGGGATTTAGATGCAACCTAATCATTGGCTGGACTTTTTTCCCCAAAGCAAATGATTTTTCTGCTTCTCCCATATGAATATGAACACTCCCATGAAAGGGAATGCGTGTAACAGCCACCATGTCTGACTTTTTTCAAAACCCAAGTTAGCCCATATCGTGTGCCTGTCCATGATAGAGACTGTCACACAGAGACAAAATAAAGCCAGGTTTTTAGGCAGGAGTGAATTAGTGAGGCCACAACATTAGTAACAAAGAAACAGAATTTCCAGAGGATGAGGCCCAGAAATCAGGATTTTAAAAAGATTCCCAGGTGATTCTAATGTGCAGCCAAGGTTGAGAACCACTGATCTAACACTTGTGAGTACTTCCTATGTGCAAAACTTCGTGGTATTCCTATAAGGTTCCAAAAATAACCAATATATGGTCTCTACCTTCAAGGAGTTTGCATACTGATGGAAAAGACAGCATGAAACAGCCCATTTTGAAAAGGGGGCATAAAATGAGGACTAGTAAGATATATAAACAAAACACAGAAGCTCCAGAGGTAGCGGCAACTAAGGGAGGA